GGGGCTTCTTAATTTCTACACCATGTTTTTAAAAGACAAAGCCACCATTGCGGAGCCACTGCACAGGCTCCTAGGAAAAAACGTTCCCTGGGTGTGGGGCAAACCAGAAGCGACTGCATTTAAAGCAGTAAAAAAAACTTTTGTCCGAGGACAGCTTCCTCATACAACTCAGAACTGCCTCTAGTACTTGTGTCTGACGCTTCCCCTTTTGGCATAGGCGCTGTGTTGAGCCATAGACTGCCGAATGGGTTAGAGGCGCCCATCGCCTATTACTCTCGCACTTTATCTAGTGCCGAAAGAAACTACAGCCAACTGGACAGGGAGGCATTAGCGGCTGTAGCTGGGGTCAAAAAATTTCACGAGTATTTGTTTGGCCGAACTTTTGAACTTGTCACGGACCACCAGCCTCTTTTGGGACTTTTGGCTGGAGACAAACCAACCCCAGATGCTCTCTCCCCCTGGATGACCAGATGGTCCATTTTCTTGGCTGCCTATTCCTACAGACTGCTCCACCGGCCAGGCAGAACTCTGGGCCATGCTGACGCCCTCAGCCGATGCCACTTGCCCGAATTGTTAGAGAACCCGACTCCGGAAGCCCCTGTATTATTCATTGATGTTGTGTCCCTGGGCCCCATTTCTTCCAGCGAGGTGGCGAAGGCTTCTGCCAGGGACTCTGTTTTGCGCACTGTAATGGGCTGGGTAATGCGGGGTTGGCCTACCAAGGTGGACAGTGGGGATTTTCAATTGTATTTCAACAAGAAAAATTAATTGTCAATGTTGGGGGGTTGCTTGTTGTGGAGAGACAGGGTGGTCATTCCTTCTCGGTTAAGGCATAGAGTTTTAGAAATGCTGCATGAGGGACACCCTGGTATTGTTCGCATGAAAGGCCTAGCTCGAAGCTATGTGTGGTGGCCACACCTCGACCAAGACATCACTGAGTGGGTGGGAAAGTGCAGGCCCTGCCAGGAATCCCGCCCAGATCCCCCTATAGCTCCCGTTAGGGAATGGGAAAAACCAAAGGGACCATGGGGGAGGATTCACATCGATTTCGCTGGCCCGTTCCATGGCCAGAATTTTCTTATTATTGTAGATGCCTTTTCTAAATGGCTAGAGATTGCCTTGATGCTGTCGACCACTTCTGAGGCCGTAATTAAAGTCCTCAGGAAACTTTTTGTAACTCATGGGTTGCTGGACACCCTGACAATGGGCCCCAATTCACGGCAACTCAATTCGAGGGCTACCTGGCCAAGTTAGGCATATGACACGCATTATCTGCCCCTTTTCATCCAGCTTCGAATGGCCTTGCAGAGAGATTTGTAAGAACGGCCAAGGAAGCACTATCCTGGCTCGATGCAGGGGATTGGCAAGCTAGGATAGACCAATTCTTAGCAATTCAGCATGCGACCCCATGCCCCACCTCGGACCGCAGCCCAGCCGAGCTCTTAATGGGCGGAAAGCTAAGGTGCATTCTCGATTGCTTACACCCCAATTACTCCTCCGATAACTTCAAGGGGGAAGGGGGAGGATTAAGACAATTCCAAATCGGAACCCCAGTATTCGCCAGAAATTATACCAACGGGCCATTGTGGGTAGAGGGAACCATCGTAGGAATCACAGGTCCAAAATCATACATGGTCGATATAGGGTATGGTAAAATTTGGAGGAGACACATAGACCAATTGCTTAGACGTTTACAGCACGAAAGCTCAAACACAGTGAGTCCTAACTTCCAAAGTTTTCCTGACACAGCTACCTCAAGCCCGAGTAAGCCAGAATACTTATCTGGCAAATAAGAGTTCCAGCGCCGCCCCAGCGAGTCAACACTCCCAGCCGGGGATAACCATACCTCTGAGGAATCCAGGAGGTTCCATTGGTGGAGCCAGGAGAGATGGGAAGTCCCTCTGACCGGCTCGACGCCTCACCAACAACTGAATTGCGCAGGTCAACCAGAATTAAGACACGCCCTGGTCACCTGCGTGATTTTGTATGTAAATATGTAAATAGATAGGATAAGTGCCTTCTGGGAGTGGAGGGGTGTTATGTATCTATTTTGTGCGGGAAATTCAAATGTCCTGTGAATTGTGATTGGTTAACGGTTGCTCCTGAAAAGTATATAAAGAGGGCTGTTGCCTGTGTTCCTTTGCTGAAGTCTCACCCTGAATTAAAGAGCTGTTGTCACTAGCTTGCTTGTGCCTCTCGTTATTCCTGCGCTACAATAGATTAGGAAAGAAATTTTCAAAACGCAAGCCTTTGCAGATGATGTGGCTCTAATAACAGAAGACCCATTAGAAACTGGCCCAAAATTACTTCGGGAAATACAGAAGTATGGAGAAGTTGCCGGCTTTAAACTTAATAAAACAAAAACCAAAATAATAGTGAAAAATGTAACAGAAGCATATAAGAAAGAGTTGGAAGAATCTTTAGGTCTCCAGGTAGTGAAGAAAACAAAATATTTAGGAATTTGGATAACTTCGAGGTATTCATCATTAAAAGAAGATAATTATACCCCACTATTACAAAAAAATACACCAGGATTTAAATAGATGGAAAAAGCTAAAATTGTCTTTCACGGGTAAAATAGCAGCAATTAAGATGAATATCCTCCCCAAAATTATATTTCTATACCAAAGCATACTGGTGAGTTTAGACAAAAAATTCTTTCTAGATTTGAATAAAAGTGTTAGGAACTTTTTATGGGAGGGAAAGAAGGCGAGGATCTCATATAAGATATTGCAAGGGAAAAGAAATATGGGTGGCTTTGGACTTCCTGATTGGGAAGCTTACCAAAAGGCAGCTAAATTAGTTTGGATTAAGGAGTGGGTCACATTGCAAAATAGGAGGATTCTGACCTTAGGTCATGATTTACAAGAAGGAAGGCACGCCCATTTATGGGACCCAAGAAATAAGAAAAAATCCTATTTTCACAAACATAAAGTAAGGGAGACCCTTATACAAACGTGGGAGGAGATTAGGCAGCGGTTCTATGCCAAAGTACCAAATTGGCTTTCTATTATGGAGACCCTGACCTTTCCAAATAGAAGAGACATCTTAAAATTTGGCACATATAAGGATATTTTAGATGAAAACGGGAACCTTAAATCCCTGGACACACTGAGAGACCAAGGCTTTAACCTAGACTGGTGGAATTATTTACAGATAAATTCAAGGTACCAGAAGGATAGGGATCAATATGGCATAGAAGCAAAGTATAGAAATTTAGACAAAATTATGCTGGAGAAGAAAATATTAGCAAAAATATACAATCTTCTATTAGACGAGGACAGGGCAGAGGATATAGCCAGAAACCAGTTAAGTATCTGGGAAAAAAACATTGGATATAGTTTAAATTTCAATGATTGGGAAGAGGCCTGGAACAGAAATTATAAAATGACTAAAGCAGCAACATACAGGGAGAATCATTATAAGATGCTCCACAGGTGGCACCTAGCGCCAGCCAGATTAGCAAAAATGTTCTCTAATGCTTCAGCAACGTGTTGGAAATGCAGTAAGGAAGTCGGCACCTTCTATCATATGTGGTGGACCTGCTCAAAGACAAAAAGGTTTTGGTCTAGAATTCAAAATTGGTTACGGGAAATAATTGAAGAGGAATTAGATTTATCCCCAAAATATTTCTTTTGGGAATAATCAGGGATGGGTTTACTAAAGATAAAATCCAACTTATAATTCATATAACAACAGCGGCCAGATTAGTCTATGCGAAATTTTGGAAAGATAAAACCATACCACCAGAGGAAATTTTAATAAATAAAATTTTAGAGTGCGCAGAAATGTCAAAACTAACGAACGAGCTAAACAACGCTGAGGAATCAAAACACCATGTAGTATGGGGAAAGTGGTACGAATGGTTAAACAATAAGATTAAATCATGATGTCAGGGTATGCTTATTTCCTGCAATTTAAGTGTGAAGTTTACCTGATGTATATTTTGTAAATATGTACAAACACTGCACCTCAGATTTTAGTAGAGATTTGATGTTTTTAACCATAAAACTAATAAAGTATACTTTAAAAAAAAAAGTGCTGTGGGGGGCATAAGGGTAATAATAAAGAGAGTTTTTGAGTGTTGCGCTTAGCAGCTGATGGGAAAGGTGACTACCACCAAATTCTTCTTTCCTTGTAGCCAGCCTCCATTGATCTTTTTTCTCTCTGCTTGGAACCCGACTGGAGTTTTCTTCTTAGAGCAATATAGCAATATAACAAAGAATTTGGTGGTAGTCACCTTTCCGATCAGGTGTTGATATGTGTGTGTGTGTAGTGCTGACATACCGTCCCTCTTGGCATTATATTTTCTGCATTCTAATGGACATTGATTCAGCTGATCGTTTAAAAAAAAAATAAAAAAGTGTATGCGGAGTCTCCGTGCTTTAGAGCAGCCTTGATTTTGGATTCTGAATGTACCAGAAATCTGAGGGCTTTTCTCCATTAAATGGAAAATTAAACGGTTTGCCTATCCCTGGCTTCTGAGGCTGGGCTGCAAAAATGCGAGCGACCACGAAACGGCAGCAAGGAGTTACCGAAACTCTTCAGTGTTTCGCTGTCATCGCGTGGGCGCCCGATTATTGCCTTCATGCTTTATGCATTAGCGGGTGACAGCTCTAGTTTCTCACATGCCCTCAGGACTGTTTATTTTACACGGGCGCCGAAGAAAACAAGAATCATCGAAGGGTTTTAATAATAATAATAATAGTTTTCAAAAATAGCTCGTAAGCTCCACGCCACAAACGCCTTTCAGAGCCTCTCAAAACGGATTCAGATTTAGACCGCATTGATTAGAAGCGAGCAGGACGCTGCCTCTTGGGCGGGCCTTCGCTCCCAGAGGATGATGGGAATTAAAGTCCTTGTGCCACTTTCCGGCACCTGACGGGTACCAAGTGCACCCACACCGAACTACAGTTTCCATAGATTTGGGGCACGGCGGCGAATCACATCCGGGTGACAGGAAACGACACTTTCGCCCTCCCCCCATGTCATCTCTTCCCTACACCTCCCCCTCCGTCTCGTTCATTTTGCAGCTGCCCGATTATCGGGGCAGAAGGAAAGACCATTCTGCACCAGGAGGAGGTGGGGAGTCTCGCTTTTTTGCCCCTCCTACCGCAGGGAACAATGGAACCGTCTAATGATCGGGGCAAGGAAGATCCCGTGTCTGGGTTCTGATCGGAGGAGCCGCAGTCCGCCCGGCCAGCCTTTGCCCCATCCTCTTCGGCCGCGGATTTGCTTCGTAGCTCCAGAAAGCCTGTGTGTAAAATTCCCGGTTTTCTTCGCTAGTCTATACCAGCCCCTTAGAACTCATGCCGCCGCCGCTGCTGCTGCTTCTGCCGCCTTCTTCTTCTCCTTTGGAACTCACTGCCTCTTGATTGCTCGCGCAAAGTTCTTGGAAGGGAAGAGCGGAGGAGAGGAGAATCATGGTCCTTACGCATCAAGTGTTGGGGTTTACGCCCCTTTCTTTCCTACCCCCTCCTCTCCTGCTTTCCTAGCCCCTGTCCTGATTTCTAAGTTGGCCGGTTGCCCCCGCTCCTTCCCCTGCCTGCTCAACTTCCTCGTAGCCGGTGGGGATGTCGCGATCGCCTCCTCCTTCCTCCTCCGTCTTCTTCACACGGTCAGGGAGACCGAAACCGTCCTAGATCTTCACGGACACAGGGGGAAGATGTTGCAAAGTATTGGCCTGACTCTCCTGGTCATCGTGGCTACCTTGTTTTTTGTCTTGCTCTTCATGCTCTGTGGTGAGTAAGAGACCCGCCCTCCCAGACCAGATGTTTCCCCCCCCCAAATATAAGATTTATTTATTTATTTTTTACTTGGCCCATTTCTCTTTCTGAGGATTATTTGATCCTTGCCAATGGAAGGACGTCAGAGCGCATAACTCTTGTAATGCTTTGCGAGTGCCTACCTGGGTGGAGAGTTGTAAAATTTATTCCTCAATCCAATAGCAAAAATAAATAAATTTTACCCGTGGGGAAAATGTTCTGAAAACAAGGGATGCATTTTAATACTTGTCACTTAATAAACAGGATTTGGCCAGTGGCGAGGTGGAGTTTCATTTGGGCTTTGTGAAGATGAATTGTGTGGGTGGTGAAGGAGGTTATTGGAGAGTTCCTGTAAAGACACCTGTCTAAAATATTTATTGAAAGGCATTAGTCTTACAAAAAGCCAAGAGAGGGACTCTGTTGCTAAATTAGCTAGTTGCTGAAAAGTCAAACCTGTCAAATGGAAGTGAAGCATACCAGTTAATTTTATCTTGCATTTATGTCTTTAAATATGAAGGAATATTGTTAATTTAGTGCCAAGGGCCCCAAATAGTGTGGAATAATAAAGTCATGTTCCAGGCTATTTCTAAATACCTTTGTGTGGTTATTTAACAGCCTTCTTCAATCTGCTGCCCTCTAGCTGTATTTCAAATATAACTCTTTTCATTCCCACCTGCCGTAGCAAGACTTTATGTTAGGCTGCTAACAGACAGTTGAGAGTTTGCAACTGTCAAAGCAATTTTTTGCCCTGGGCTGTAGGAAATTTTCTTCTTCTGCTGAGCTCCACTCAGGCAATTTTTAATGTAATACCTGCCTTCACCTGGGCAACACTACCTAGGATAATTTTGCATGGCATTAGAGATATATTGATGGAAATCCTGCCATTTCTACTATACTTTGCTTCTGAAAAGATGCCAGCCACAGCTGCTGGAAATTGAAGTACACCACAGCCCTTTATCCTGAAAGCTCATCACTGCTTCATTAATGTAAAAGCCTTCACCAGAAATATTTATGGGTTTTACATAGGAGACAATAAAGCCAGCATGAAATTACATATATAGATGGTGTGACTTGGAAGTCCTGTTAAGAGGAGATATTTCTTGGAGAAAGGGGAAGAAGAAGAAGAAGAACATGGGACCTTATGTGTCTTTGCATTAATGTGAAGTTAGTCAGACCTTGGAATCGGATATGAGCTGTTCTTTGATGGTATGGAGTTGAGGGAAGGTTTTATTATATACAACCTTTACCAAAATGTATATTTCTGTCCTCTTTTCTATTTCTCCATATTTATCCCCTTTCACCTCTTTCATCAACTGTCCTTTCCCAGGGATGAAAGAAGGGTTTCCTTAACAACATATTTATTAATGACCTTCTGAGGAAATTAAGATGAAATTAATGGGAACCTCCACTGGTTCCACTGGAAATTTGGTAATCGTATATTAGAGTATTAGACTGCTCATCTTGGGACCTGCTGATCCCACACACATCTAGAGGGTTAGTTCCAGGTTGGAAAGGTTGATCAGTGGATAATGTGATGTCATTACACCGAGTTATACTAAAAGAGTTAAAAACTAAGTTATGACATATTTTGACTAAGGCTTGCTAAATATGCTTTAAATGACTGGATGATATAATACATTAATCAAAACCAAATAAATGACATGTATGCTGATGGGTACTTTCCCCATCCAGAAGATCATTTCTCTGAATAAAAGACATGTCTGGGCATGCTTCAACCAAATTAATATGTTCACTGATTTTCCTATGACTCAGCTAAACATTTAGTGTTGGAAACATCTGGAGGACTTCTACTCAGATCATCCAGGATCCTGATTGGCCAGTTTTTTGTTTCCTTAGATGCTATTCTCAGTCCCCTTAGATTAATTGCCTGATTTTCAAATGACTAAAGAGGAAAACCCAGATCCTGCTGTAAAGTTCCAGAGGACAATTATCTGATAAACTTTTATTTAGCAAAGTTTGTTTGTTTTAAACTGAAACTTGCCATTTCTGATTCCTTTCTGCTGGATTTTTAAATGTATTGAATTGGGTGTTGGAGTTCCTTTTTTTTTCTCCTAGCCTATGATATGATCTTATGTGCCAGGTGCAAATGCTTAACTGATTCTAAAGGAGTGACAAGAAAACTTAGAAGGAAAGTGTCCTTCTCTAGACAAGTAGCTTTTAAGTCTGATTCTCACGTGTTCTGCCTGAGGATTCCTGATTGTTGTAACAGCAGTGGTGTAGTGAAGTTTCAGCAACTTGGCTTTGATTCCTAGAGACTGGATAGATAGAAAAATTGTTGCTTTCTTGGAGTTTGTGTCAGCAGTAAGCCATATCTTTTCTATGAGCATTCTGGTTATTTTTTTTTTTTAATCCCACCCATCCACCTTATCCTGCTGCTTTTCTCTTCCCTCAATTTTGCAAGAATAATGGTTTTTTCTAGCTCCTCATCCTGTCTAAGCCAGTCTGGTGTAGTGATTAAGGCATCAGGCTAGAAACCAGAAGGCCATTGCTTCTAGTGTTGCCTTGGGCACAAAGCCAGTTGAGTGACCTTGGGCCAGTCTCTCCTCCTTAGCCTTAGGAAGCAGGCTATGGCAATTCATTTCCGAAAAACCATACCAAGAAAACTTCAGGAACTGGACCAGGCAGACACATGGAGTTAACACTGACTCAAAGGCACCAAAACCAAACATCCATTTACATCTTATGCCCAAAGTATGTGAGCTTATGTTTGCAAATCATTTCCACAAAGGAGCACTCTGTTTTTATGTGACCCAGAACTAATGGATTACTTCTTTTAGTACATGGTGTTTTATTCATCTCCATGTAAGTCTCTAAATCTCACAAAGTACAATAAGCAAAACCTTGCTTGCATGAAGAATGACTGCAGTTCATCTAGAAATGTGCAGATTTATTTGCATCTTGCTTCTTTATTACCAATCTTTTCCTAGATCCCCAAATCTTGTTCTATATTTGTTGACATAGAGTTGTTTCCACTTTATCTGCCATTTCTCCACAGCTTTACATAGTTGAATGCTTGTTTGTTTTTACCTGTGGCTGGTGCTTTTCTATTTAGCAACTGTTTCAATGCCTGCCATACCTAATTTTTAATTTAGTTCCTGAATATATTTCTCTACAAATGTTTCAGTTATTCTATAAACTTGTTTATAAAGGGTTTCAGTATGGTTTCATCTTCCTTTAATCTTATTTGCTGGAATAGAATTGAATGGAATGGAATGGAATGGAATGGAATATCATCATAGTATCATCATAGTATCATCATAGTATCACGTCTCTTCAGTGGTTGTTGGAAGCTTGTACTTTAGCTATGGATTTTCTTTCTTAAATCTCTCACGTTCTTTTTCTTATTACGTTATTCCATTTGTTTACACTCTTGACTGAGATAGTGTTCCTTGCCTTTTCTTGTTTGATATTGAAAGTTAATGTTCAGCTGCCCTACGTTCTTCCTGCTGCTTGACTTTTTGCTTCTTTGAAAGTTAGGATAGATAGGTTTGGTTTACTTTCACAATATCACATTTCTTCATGTAGCTCATAGTTGAATTTCACACACGTGTATGAAATCTGTTCTTTACATTGATTTTTAGTATTACCAATAGCACTTATATCCGTCTCTATGTGATTTGCAACGTCAGTATTATTGCCGTCAACAATATGGGTCGTCATTTTACTGGCCTCAGAAGGATGGAAGGCTGAGTCAAACTTCAGCCCTGTCAGATTCAAATTCCTGATGTGAGCAGTGAGTTAACTTGCAATGCAGCAGTCTAATCACCGTGCCACCACAGTTCTTATAATCTGACAATATGTTTCCCAAATCATAGTTTACTTGCATGCACGCCTATTTTCCTGTGCACTGCTCCCACTATCCGTGAATGGGTTAAATCCTTCAGCCTTTGGCAAACAACTGAGAGTAATTTTAAAAGAGACTTCCCTTTCTCTACTCCCTAGCCACGCCCCCCCTCCCGTGATTCCCCAGTCTTCTCTCAGTTGTTGGCAAACGCTGAAGAGTTTTTGGGAGCTCCTGAGTCAGCACAGGTATTTTTCTTCTTTAATCCTTTTCCTCTTAAGTTGTTTAAGTTTTTTTTTCCTTCCCTTTCCCAGGGGCGTTTAGGCTTTCTGTTATTTTTGATTAACTCCCTTTTTTTCCCCGCGCGCTGTGTTGCTTGCGGATTCAAAGTAAAGAGAGCGCTCATCAGCTGGGCATCGGGCTCGGAGCTTTGAGCCGCCCACGCTCACACGCCAAGCGCTAAATGAAGCGGCTTTTCTCTTCCTAACTGCCGAGACTTGCCACAGCCGCTCAGAAGCGGCGCGAATAGGAGGAAAAGCCCTGCAACCATTTTTTTTCCAACCTTTCACCTGCAGAGCTTGGAGGAGGCAGCGGAAGGGCGCAGACAGCAGCGCGCAGCCGCGGAAGCCTTGCTCAGCCTGCCCTTCCTCCCTGCACAGCTGGAAAGATCTCTCTCTCGCTCCCTGCGTAGTGCGGCATCTGGTAGGACCCTTGGGCTGCCAGTGCAAGTCCGCTGCTTTAGCTGCCTTCAAGTGCCTCAAGCCACGTGCGGCCGCCATTTTGACGGACCTCCGGGCCGCCATTTTGGTCAACCTTGCAGACCAGCCTCTCTTGGACCACCAGGGAGCCAACTGCGCCCCTTTCACTGGGCAGTTCGGGAGCCAGCAGGACCAGTCCCCATGGGGCAGCCTGCCAGAGAGAGACACCTGAGGGAGCTATCCTGCAAAGAGCTCAGCATCCAGAGGGTGCTCTCTGCTACACAGCACTGAAACGCCCGCTTCACTGGCAGTCATGTCTGATTCCTACCTGTCTTCAGACATGGAGTTGGAGTCAAGTCCACCTCGCAAAGGGGACAAACAACCTAAAAAAAGCAAGAAGTCTGGGAGCTCCGGCCACAAATCTAAATCAGTCAAGGCACTCCCTTGCCAGGACAGGGACACCTTAAGATGCCACA